GTGGGGACACTGGGAGACATGGGGACACTGAGACACTAGGGATACTGAGACACTAGGGACACTGACACTGGGAGACTAGGGGACATTGGGAGACTAGGGGACACTGGGCGCCATGGGGACACTGAGACACTAGGGACACTGGCTGGGAGGCATGGGGACACTGGGAGACATGGAGACACTGTGTCCCATGTGTCTCCGTTTCTCCCAATGTCCCCATGTCTCACAGCATCCCCATGTGTCTCAGCGTCCCCATTTGTGTCAGCGTCCTCATGTCTCACAGTGTCCCCTAGTGTTTCAGTGTCCCAAAGTGTCTCAGTGTCCCCAGGTCTTCCAGTGTCTTCTAGTGTCCCAATGTATCCCCTAGTGTCTCATGTCTCTCTGCTGCCTTTCCCCCTATCCTTCACTTACCTGAGCTGTAGGCTGTCTCTGCTGACTGGGAGCTGCTGTCTGGACTCTCTGTGCTGTGTAGCTGTTCCCCAGCGGTTCAGTGAGTAGAGAGAGGCAAGGAGGGATATGCTGTAACTTCCTATCCCTGCCTCTCTCCACACACAGTGACCCCTACTGGCTGGTGCTGGTATTGCAGAGTAATCTCCGTTTATACTGAGAAAAATATCTGCATTTCTATTGCTGGTATTACTGCAATACCAGCACGGCCAGGCAGACTCAAATACCAGTACCTGTGCCAGTAAAATACCAGTCAGGTGGCAAACCTAGGTGTAGTGGGTGTGTAAAAAAAAAAAAGTATATATACATTTTTTTAAATGGGCCTGGGGCTGCAGCTCCATCAGCTGTTAATCCAGCCCTGCCTGCGGGCAGCTCCATAGACTTCTATTGTGGCCATGCATGTGATCACCATGATCACATGGCCCTTGAGGGCTGGAGTAGCCCTCAGGCAGTCCCCCGCTGACCGGGATTGCCGGTCCAGGTAAGCACAGGGCAGTGGGAGGATGGCTGGGCGTACTATGCCGTCCTCTGGTGTTTAGGACCACCCCTTTAAGGACGGCATAGTACGCCCACCGTCCATGATGTGTTAATGTCCCTGTTTGTATATGTGTCCTCGAGTGTGTCATAAATATAAGGGTTTTTAAACTCACCTTTTTCCAGCACCAAGGCTTTATCGCTGCTACTTGCCTATCCACCTCCTGTGATATCATGGAGGCATGGCCTGCAACATAGTCCAATCCAATGCTCCTCCCACAGGAGCATTGGGGACCTGATGTGCATGCATTGCATTTATCCAAACTTTTGCATAGGAAAGCATTGAATCAATGCTTTCCTATGGTGGTCTCCATATGACGTGTCAGAGTTCAACTCGGTCACTTCAGGTGCCTCTAGTGGCTGTCGGGAAGACTGCCACTAGAGGTAAACTTACTGAGTATATTCATTCTCAGTCTGCTATTATTAAAGTAACACTGAAAAAATGAATGAAGATGACAAGATATATATTTTATACAAAAAAATCTTCCTGCACTCAGACTCCCACTGCTTCTGGGTGGCAGCAATGACTATAGTACACATCAGCCCCAATACATACAGTAGTCATTTTTTTGTGTTATTATTCTCTCGCATTGTACTTTAGGCATTGTGGCGAAACCGACCTCGCCACTGGGCATTGGAGAGGACTGATTGCCAGACTCCTGCCATGTGATTATGGCCCCTTGGGATGTATTGCCCTTTAAAGACATGATTTGGGCATAATGGATTTGTGTTGTGCTGCTGCTGGCCCTTTAAGAACCATCTGGGGACATACCGTGGAGTTACTGGGTGGCCACCATTTCATGTATCGGAGGCACATGGTGAGAACAATGGATGGCGGCCATTTTAACTCACAGACACTGCTTGGACTTTTCTACACGGTGCCATCTCGCCAGTATTTGGTGCATGAAGACATCGTTCAGTAGTTTTAAACTATACAACAGAGGACACATTATACAATTATTTTTCATATAGCCTGTATATGTTGTGCGGAATCTGCATTAAACTGCATCTTCCAAACTACTGAACGTATCAGGGTGAATTTTGGATATGTGGTTCACCCAGATCCCCCGGTTCCGAGGATTTTTATGGGGTTATTGCATGTTTTGGGGTCCCTGTGATATGTTTTATAATACTGTATTTCTCTGCCTGTGATAATTATATTACCCATTGTGTTTAGTAATCGTATCACAGGCAGAGGGGATGATTTTGTGTGGGAGTGTCTGTGTGTATTGTACGGATTGATTGGTTGTATTTCAAAACCCTGTGGGCAGTACTATGTTTGTGGATTGTGAATAAAAGAGGCTGTATGTGCCAGTACGGTCAGTTCTACTTCACCCTCAATTTGGAGTGCCGTCTCTTATTGGGGGAATCTGCTACAAGGGATTGCTATGCTCTGCATACTCTCTTGCTATATTCACTGCTAAGCTCTTGTAAGAGCTTGTTCCTGTCTTGCTCTCTGAAGGAGTCTATGGTGGTTATGGTATCGCTGGAGTGCTTGGAGCTTTCAGAAAGCACTAGGAGCATCCTTCAATGGAGGTACCCAGTCGGGGTGCCCGTCGATCCGTTACAGGCATGGATTCTCAGTTCCTGTTATGTGTTACTGACAAAGAACACCCCAATATGTGTTCATACCTGTATGGAAATATCCAAAATCACAGATGTGTCCACCTAGATATAGACAAATGCACACATCCATGTGGACATACGTACATATATACCTTCTTCCTGTATTTAAACTCAGGTTCCGCCTACCTATCATACTTTCATATTATCAAGCCAATACTCACTCTTTTCTCCCTGTGTCCATTCCCTGTGACTTATATAATTGTGCTTCCATCTTTAGTTGAAAGTTAACTTGTGTTATCACCTTGTCTAAAGAAAAGGGTTTGGATACTTTCCAGTTACGTTCTATGATTATCTTAACTGCTACCATATCATGAATGAATATATATGCTTCCTTATGTTGTAATGTTTTAATATTCAAATGCAAAATAGCATTCTCCGGGAACCTAGGAATAGGCTTGTTTATTACATTCTCTATTGTATCAAAAGTCTTAGTCCAAAGTTCCATCACTATATCTCACTCCCACCATATGTGAACAAAGGAATTAAACATGCTAGTTAATCTAGATGGTACAAGATACCATCTGTTCATTACTTTAAATAAGATTTAAGCCAGGTTCAAACAGTGAATACATATGCGTGCTGACCACCACTCCTCCCTCTTAATGTTTATATTTAAATCCTTTTCCCATTTTGACATGCAGCTATGGCGAAAGGAGCTTCTACTTTTAATAATCCAATAGTAGCTAATGAGACTACTTTATAACCTGTACATTTTTAAGCACTGAACAAATCAACTTAGTACCTTCACGGGGACTGCAAAGAATATTTTGATTTATATAATTTTTACCCTCAGTTATATGAATAGTTCATTAATTGATAGCTGGAATTCTTGGATCAGCTGTGGAAAGGGTTTAATTGTTTCATTTTCCATTAATTGGTCTACTCGACTGATACCTTTTTGTATCCACCTTTTTAAGTATAGATCTTTTACATAATATGGTATCAGTGTCATTTTAATAGTTATGGGGATTTTATGTTCTATACCACATTTCTTTTTAATAACCTTCCATCCTTCCAATATGGAGTCCAAACATATATAAGATTATTTGGGGATCCGTACTCCTATACCACATTATGGAGCTTATATCTTTTATACCACTTATCTCACTTTCCAAAAGATACCATCCTTCCTTTCTCGTGCTATCTAGCTGGGTTCTATATAAATGGAAAAACTAATTTGCTAAATGTATACACCCTATACTTGGAAACCCCAAACCGCAATCTAATTTTTTGTGCCAAGAGGGTTTTATTGATCCTAGGTCTCTTACCCTTCCAGATATAGTTAGTAACCGAATTTTGAATCATATCTAGCCAAGATCTAGCTATTTTTAAGGGGAGCATTCGGAATAGATATGCCCATTTGGGAAAGAGGTATGCCTTAATCAGGTTCATCCTCCCCCACCATGTTGTCTCTACGTGTCTCCATTTTTTCAATGATTTATTCATATCCCTAAAACAGCTTAAAAAAATTAAACTGCATTAGATCGGAGACATCTCTAGTCACAAGTTTACCAAGATACTGAATGGTAGTGTTGGCCCATTTAAAATTATATCTAGCGTTTATAAGGTCCCTGCTCTCTTTGTCTACATTAATGTCTAAAATTGTTGATTTACTCTTGTTTATTTTGTAGTTTGAAATGTAACTATACGTCTTCACTTCCTTCATAAAAGCTTTTATAGATGTAACAGGGTCGGTTAGGGTTATGATCAAATCATCCGCATATAATTTCAATTTTAAATCTCTTTGTTTTTTAACAATGCCCTTTATTTGTTGGTTATTTCTAATATTAATCGCCAATATCTCCATAGATATAATGTACAGGATTGGAGACACTGGGCAACCCTGTCTTGTACCGTTGTGTAATTTGAACCAGACGGTACCTAAATTAAGGCCGACTGTCCTCGCTGAAGGGCAAGAATACAAGGACAGGATTGCCCGGTGTATCCAGCCCTGAAACCCAAATGTCAACAAAGCTTTACTCAAAAAAAAAAAAACAATCGACCCTGTCAAACGCTTTCTCCACGTCAACTGCCAGCAGAAGTAAGGGAATATTTTTTCTTTTGGGACAATCTAAGATGTCAATAATGCATCTGGTGTTATCTGAAGCTGTTCGCCCTGGAACGAACATTAGGTCCCCCTCTTATTCTAGTTTAGGGCCCCCACCCACCGCTCAGGACCCAAGCTTTGGTCATTTATTACCAAAGAAAATAGAAAGCAAAAAGAAAAGGATCAATTGCTTCAACCAGGAGTAGATACCAACACCTAGAATAATATAATAAAAATAGATATACTATGTTAAATATATTTCTAGCAGAGATGGTAGATCTGCTAAACAATGAATTTAGAATGAAATATATCACTTTAAAATAAGCAGTTCAGGGGGGCGGGGCCTGGCCGCCATGCTGACCGGTCGCATGCGGGAGAGGCTCCTGCACAATCTGGCCCTTTAGAACGCAAAACATGGCACATCGCAGCCAGAAATGCAGCACAGTGAACAGGCAGCTGTGGGCGCTACTGCTGACCCCAAGATCGGGAGTTTTGAGGCCCCTGAAGGCTGCAAGAAACTTTGGGGCCTGCGGCCTACGCGGGAGGGGAGCGGGATGGACGGCCGCCGTCCTGTCTCCAACTCTAGCAACCACGCAGCAGCACTGAAACACTCCTCACGGGTCCCGTTCCCCCCCCTATGGACCGGCGGGAGTTATCCCGGTCCCCACTGGAGGGATCCGACACCACCGCTCACCGATCCCACTGCGCCTCCCATGCTCTCGGAACCCAGAGTTATACCACAAAATGGCTGCCTCATGGTCAGCCCTGGGCACAGACCGACCATCAATGCGAGGTACCGCCAGATGCACCTATCCCCAGGCTTCCTCACTACACCAGCGCCTGATGGAGCACATAGACACTCAAGCCTCTGCACCCGGAGATCAGGACTGGTCCCCGCGGCCGCCTGCGAGGTTGCCCCTCATACCGCAGCCCAACGAATACACAGACCGCTACGGACCACTAGAAGCAACAGAGAAGCGGACACAGACTGCAGACTCACGCGAAGCCTAGTACAAGCGAAATGGCACTCACCGGACGCCCCCAGTTGCGGGAGGCCTGATGGCGGGCTGCGGTCGCTTCCCACAATGGAGCCAGCGGCGAAAGTGAAACCTGTTAATTGGCGGGACCAACAAGCATGCACATACCAGCCAACACAAAAGTACTGTGCTCGGGGGACTGTGGGGCTTCAATACCGGGACATCAGTGGTCTTCTCCTATTGCTAATGTCTCATTAATCGGAAGCTACTCTAACTCTAATCAAAATCTTGCTATTAGCTAATGCCTTACAAATGCCTAATACGTATTGTCTCTCTAGCTAGTACCTACGTAACTAAGCTAGCACTTCATAAAAGCGTCTGTTTATACTCTTGTTATGAATGTATTATAATCCACACCTGCAGACTCAGGTTTTAAGCAAACTCCTATTATATTGCTCAGAAGAGGTAGTGAACCACTGAATGAATATGCATATGTAGACCTAGACAATTCCATGTTTGACTAGCCTGTATATCACTCTAAGCTAAATAATCGAAGTTAAACTTGAAAGTTTATGTTAGATACAGATGTTGATACTTGCCATAGAACCAGCCACTTAAGCTAAGGGACGAATCCAACAGTTTTGCTCATCACATAATTATAAAATTGTGCATGTTTTATAGCTGACCCAACTGTTATATATATGTTTCAAATACGCTTGAGGAATGTCGTTGGGATACCTCATGCGGGGATGTTAAACTGATATGCACTGCAAAAATAAAGAATAAAAAAAAAAAAAAAAATAAGCAGTTCAATAACATTCAATTCAATCTTATGATACATATGTTGGCAAGGGAAAATAGACACAAACAAATGTATCTCCATAAATATACACTGTATCAGTCAATGCATGGGAATGATTCAGCAGACTATGTACTAGTAATATATGAAACCCAGAAAAATAAAATCAGTCCAATAAATGTCTCTTAAATGTATGCTCTCATAAACTAGGCTATTATCCTTGCTATGAGGACAGCAAGGGAGCTAGCCAATAAGAGCTAAAAATACTCTAGTAGCAGACTAATATCCCAATCAATAATAGTATGATACATCAAAAAATAAAAGCAAATTAAGTTATAATATAATCAAAAATGTAAATAACAGTGGATGTGTAGAAGTGTAGGATAGACTCTTATACATAAAACAGTAGAATCCAGGAAGCTTTCTTTATAATCAGCAGCCGTTGATCGCAATAATATGTATAGTTGAGGCAAAGTGTTCACCATAAAAATTTTTATTTATTCAACTAAAGGAATATAAAAATATAAATATAAAAGTCACTCACTATGAATAGGGAACTTTCTTATAGAGTCTATCTCCCAACAGTCTGGATACTCTTGAAATGTTGACTAGTCAGAGTCAGCTTCAAAGACAGCTTCAGAGTCCTTGGTGTCGGATGACTGAAAGGGAGATTCACCGCGCACGTTCCACTTTGGTTCAGTATGCGTTCCACTGTATGTGGATCTTGAGAAAGACCTGAAGAGGTTGAAATGTCGATCAGACAGATGTAAACTTCTTGTTACATTAAACACCAGTGATTTTTTTCAACAAAGACCATAGAGTGCATCACTTTTCATCATCTATTGTATATATTCAGCGTGGAATTGCACCAGGGCATACTATTTGTATATAGTATCTGAAAGGGTGAGTGTCATTACACTTATATATATATATACACACATACATGCTGTAACACACCACCTCTTTTACAGGTAGGATTTTGTCACAGATCTTATAACCACAGCCTGCTAGGGTAAAGAAAGTCCAGGACACATCCAGCTCAGTTTTTCAGATTTATTCGGTGATATATATATATATACAGGTGTTTCAAAATGAAAAATAAACAAAACAAAATTCCTTGCTCTTGCTTGAGCACTTACTATACACAGCAAATCCCTATCTGGAATTGGGTGGCTTTCCCACTTGCCAATTTACAAAAAAGTATAACTGCAAGACACCATTCCTCTGGCTTTTCCTCCTCACTCTGCAGCATGCTGATCCCTTCTTTTTAAAAGCCTGCTAGCTAATTGATCAGATACAGGTGAGGTGCAATTAGGCATAAGTGAAACTACAAAGCAAAATAAAAGTTCTGGTGCTATTGGAGCACTGGCCCACCCTGCTCTCCAAGTGCTCTGCCCCAGGGACCCATACCGTGGTTTGCAGAGTACCAGTGATGCATCTTGCAAACCTAACATCTCTCCCTGGGACATTTAACTCTCAGACCTCAGGTTGCTGTTCAGTAAATCAGGCCTAATGTATATGCCATCAACTACCAAACCACATTTTCTCTCACAATGCATACACATACACATATACATATAATACGTGTGTGTATATATATATATTTCCTGGCCATATCCAGGGTATAAGTACCCCCTCCCACCACCTCCTCCCTCAGTCTTTTTGTTCCTGTCCTTTCCCTATAGGACATATAGTCATTCAGGACTACAACTATTTTTATTTTTGCTTTACATTAGGTTTTTTTACCTTAGGCCTCTATTTTTTGGGAAGTCTTCAGTATGCGGCCCTGCGCAAAGGTGTCCCCCTGAAGATGCTCCTTTAGTGACCAGGAGCTACTTGCAGTGACCCTAGGGGTAGCAAGAGAAAAATGCCAATACACAGGATTCCCTGCAGTGACCAAGCGGTAGCAGGAAGTGGCAGAAGAATCTCTTCTCCATTATGTATAACTTTTATTTATTTTTATCTGGCAGTCCACAGCATATATAAATACCAAAGTGTATATTTATTGTATATAGTGGTTGTCAGGTGCCTCCTTCCACCTTTTCTATACTGTTATTTACTTTCAGGAACTTCAAGCAGAAGAAAAGGTAAGGTCCTAGGGATTATCTACCAGGCTTCCCAGCTTTTTCGCCACTTTTACATACCGTTCTGGGAGCCGCCATCTTGCTCAGCGTTCGATGGCCGAACTACTCATGTGTGAACGAACGGTCGCGTCATGCCATTTTTTGCGCATATATATGTGTATATATTTTAAAGTACACTTCACCAAGGTAAGTCCAGGGCTCCTATTTGCCGCGGACCTACAAGGTACGTCCGCGTCACTTAACGGTCGTTTTTTGTCAGACGTACCTAGTACGTCAACAGGGATATATGTTTTCATAACATCATTCTAAATGTATTTTGATTTAAATATATATGTATATTATCAAAATACAGTTAGAACAAATGTAAACCGCGTTATAATTTTTTTTTATTTATTTTTTTACATTTTTATATATATATATATATATATATATATAAAATTAATGTCCTTCTAAGTGTATTTTAATATATGTATATAATTAATATTAAAATACACTTTTAATAATGGTGTATGTGTGTTTATGTGCATGTAAAAGTACTTAGATTATATATTTATATATAAAAACAAATAAAATCTTTCAACATTAAAGTTGCTGTTTAGTGGATACAGTCAAATCCATAAATATTGGGACGTCGACACAATTCTAATCTTTTTGGTTCTATACACCACCCCAATGGATTTGAAATGAAATGAACAAGATGTGCTTTAACTGCAGACTTTCCGATTTAATTTGAGGGTATTTACATCCAAATCAGGTGAACGGTATAGGAATTACAACAGTTTGTATATGTGCCTCCCACTTTTCAAGGGACCAAAAGTAATGGGACAATTGGCTGTTCAGCTGTTCCATGCATTTGTAATCTGTTGCTGTCAACTCTCAATATGAGATCCAAAGAGCTGTCCCTATCAGTGAAGCAAGCCATCATTAGGCTGAAAAGACAAAACAAACCCATCAGAGAGATAGCAAAAACATTAGGTGTGGCCAAATCAACTGTTTGGAACATCCTTAAAAAGAAAGAACGCACCGGTGAACTCAGCAACACCAAAAGACCCGGAAGACTACAGAAAACAACTGTGGTGGATGACCGAAGAATTCTTTCCCTGGTGAAGAAAACACCCTTCACAACAGTTGGCCAGCTCAAGAACACTCTCCAGGAGGTAGGTGTGTCAAAGTCAACAATCAAGAGAAGACTTCACCAGAGTGAATACAGAGGGTTCACCACAAGATGTAAACCATTGGTGAACCTCAAAAACAGGAAGGCCAGATTAGAATTTGCCAAACAACATCTAAAAAAGCCTTCACAGTTCTGGAACAACATCCTATGGACAGATGAGACCAAGATCAGCTTGTACCAGAGTGATGGGATGAGAAGAGTATGGAGAAGGAAAGGAACTGCTCATGATCCAAAGCATCAGTGAAGCATGGTGGTGGTAGAGTCATGGCGTGGGCATGTATGGCTGCCAATGGAACTGGTTCTCTTGTATTTACTGATGATGTGACTGCTGACAAAAGCAGCAGGATGAATTCTGAAGTGTTTCGGGCAATATTATATGCTCATATTCAGCCAAATGCTTCAGAATTCATTGGACGGCGCTTCACAGTGCAGATGGACAATGACCCGAAGCATGCTGCAAAAGCTACCAAAGAGTTTTTTAAACCCTTCGGGACCGCTGACAGTTCAGGACCGTCAGCGGTAAAACGTGCGTTTGGACCGCTGACGGTCCTGAACCGTCATAGCGAAAAATGGGCTGCGGAAAGCGATCTAA